CGCCCCCAGTCCTGTGCGCCCCGTGGTCTCAGGGTATCCTCTTGAACTGGACATTGCTTTTTTTTAAATGGTGAATTTTAGAAAATTAAGTGGTCTTTTCCCAGTCCCAGTCAGATCACCTACCCAGCCTTTACCAACCCTCTTTTCCTCTTGAAGAGAACAAGGAGCGGCCTGCCTTCCTCTTCCGTGAGGCGCTTAGAGGATGGGGAGGGCTCGGGTGTGCCCCGCCCCCAGCCCAGCCACACTCGGGCACAGAGGCAGGGAGCACTGTCTCTGTGCCTTAAGGGGCTCAGTCAGAGCCTGAGGTGGAGACACAGTGAGCCAGGAGCGCCGCTGGGAGACACCTGGGCCATGAGTGTGGAGCTGATGTGCGGGTAGCTGGATGTGCGGGTGGCTGCGGAGCCCTCCATGGTCCCCTGGGGAGGAAGCCGGAGTCCTGGGGCCGCTGTGGGGCCTGACCTGCAGTGCTGTAATGTGGACCCGGGCTTCTGCAGAGCCTGCGGGGCCCCTGCTGCTGTCTAGGTATGTGATTGCTGGAGAAGATTCTTAGATGCTGAGCATCGGGATCAGTGGTCACCTTGTACTCTGAAGAGCAATACTGGCCCTGTAGTGTGAGACTTAAAAATATATCCTTTCTTGCTCCTTCCCTTTTTCTTCCTTTCTCTTTTCTTTTTTCCTTTCCCTACTGTCAAAAAAGTTTAGATATTAAAAGAATTAAGAATTCTAAAAACAGTCCAGGGAGTGGTTTAATTTTACTCCTTGACTTCATGGATTATTGTCTCAAGTAGGCATGGGAAAATAATTGCCGTAGGCCTCAAAAGAGTTTGCTATATGTTCAGCTATTTAAAAAGAAGTCTATGAAAAGTAAAGTACACAATATATTTTTAAAAATTAATTTTAAAAAGAATGTCATAGTGAATTCTAAGAAATTATATTGGAATAGATGTTCGTATATTGCTTGTGGATATTTTGATACCAAGGTAGGAATGATCGACAATTCTGTATTTTAATACTTGCATCCTTTATGTAGAAAACAGATCCTCAGGGAGTGGTCTTATGAAGAGTGGTTAAATAAATCTCATATAATTTTCATGTATTTATTTTTAATTGGAGAAAAGTTTGTTTTTTCAAAAAATGTGTCTTGTTTTCTTATTGCTGGGATAAATTACACAACACCTGCAAGTTTTTTGAGGCGAGAGATTCACTGTAACTCGCAGCTCACAGCTCCTAGTGGTTTCAGTCCACAGTCAGCAGCTTCCAAGGCAGGGTGGATGCCGGAGGGTGTGGCAGAGAGGACCAGTCCGTGGCAGGGCAGGCAGGAAGCACAGGAGGTCGGGGAGGGCGCGCTGTACTCAGGGTGACCTGCCTCTTCCCACCAGACCTCACCACCCAGCATCAGCCCAGCTGCCGGTCCACCAGTGGACTAATCCTGGGATGAGCACACATACCTGTGGCCCAGTCACCCCTAAAAGCCCCCTACCCCATGAGCACACAGGCTTGGGGAACATCTAGATGTAAACCCTAACAGTCTGTTTCACGGTAGAAGTAGCTCATTCTAAAGACAGCACTTGTCATGTTTGCCCGCCCTGCGCTGTGGTCTCTGGCTTTACTCTCTGGGAATTCTGCAAAGGTGGAATCACTTTATGACATGAATAGATTTCCCCTCCCTGCCCGCCCACAGGACCTTGTACTGTCACTACTTTATTATGTTCTGTATTAAATAATTTGCAACAGACTTAGCATTGTTTATTGGGAAACACTAGGGTGCTGGAAGATAACTTGTTTGTAGTTCAGACATACTTCCTCATTTAAAAATGAGGATTGAAGTCCATGTTTTTGGTGAAGTACTTCAGATTTTTAGGTTAGAGGTTGCCTTTTAACTCACCTCTTTTCATTATGTGAGGAGAAGGCAGCAGAGGCGGAGACAGGATTAGTCAGGTCACCTCGTGGTGCACAGGGCTGCAGGGACATCTTGGCCCCTCCTCTGCATTTCTCAGAGATCTTGCTGCACTTGTCCATTGTCCCAAGTCACCAGGCCATCTTACGCCCATTTTTGACTGGCCGGTGTTTGAATGCTGGGGATAATGTAGGAGCCAGAGAGTTCTAGGGCAGGACAACATGTTTAGGTTTGGAGTCACTGTTTTACTGTCTTTAGAGTTAGGAATTCCTTTTTAAGAAAAGGAATGAGAACCCTTGAAAGTCTGCCCAGTCAGTGAGATACTTTCTTTTAGCAGATGTAAGCTATTACCTGCAGTTAGCACTTAACATCTCGCACCAGATCCTAAATGTGGGCTAACGGAGGCATGACTCTGTGCTCTCTGTTGTTTTGAGCCTGGATATAATAATTTTCTGAAAGTCCTAGTTAGCCTTCATTTCTGCACGTGTGAACTAGCTGCTAATAATCTGGCAATATAATCCAGATTATCTTTACATTGACATTCAGTTATTTCATTTGACACTTCTAGCTATCCTATGGCATTTAAAAATTGGAATTGAATTTTCCTTGTCATTTTAACAAAAGAGCCATTGTTATTAACCTGCTGGCATATAATCTGGAGTTCCTCTTTTCCAATTGCTTTAGAACTATTGGCTATTCATGTCTATAAAAACATGTGAGTATCTCCGAGGCAAGATTCCCCAGCGAAGGGCAGTCGTGACTTTGAGTCTGCGAGTGCTGTTGTGGGCCAGGGTGCCATGACGTCATCCTGGGGTGTCAGCGCTTGTGCGTTGTACGTTTAAGACACTCACAGTAAGTGGGTTCCCCTGCATGGGCGGCAGTGTCTTCTGTATTCTCAGGAGAGGCTTTTGTTAGACAAGAAGAGTGCTTTCCTCCTCACTTTCCTTTGCTTTTAAATTCTGATAAGGCATAGAATTTCTTAAGAATTTAAAAATGTTCCTGTCGTCAATTCATAACATAACAAAAATATTAATAAATATTAACATAAATATCATTTATCTTAAGTTAGAAAGTAGTTTGAGGAGCAGTTCCCTTTTACTATTAATTTGAATAGAAGACATATTCAAAAATTAAGGAGTAAATACAACTTTTAAAATCGAGTATATGTCTGTGAGAATAGAATGGTTTTGAAGCTGTGTCCAGACACGCAATAGTTTTATATGCTTCATGAAAAGATAGTGCTGCATTGTATCATTCTGTAAAGTGCATTGTGATGTCCATTTCAATTATAATACAGGAAAGAAGCATCTCACGTCGAAGGACACTTTGCCTGCCAGGGTGTTCGTAGCAGGGGTGGTGCTGATGTGTGCGTTGCGCGCATGTAAGCATCTAGCTCGTGCCTTCATGGGCCCGGGGCTTGCCACTCTTCTGCCAAGCGCATTGAGTTGGTGGGAGAGGGCAGATCCGTGTTCCATTTATAAATTTTAAAGATTTATCTTTAAAACTGGATGGCTGTAACCTTAGCACTCTGGGAAGCTGAGGCAGGCACATGGCAAGTGACAGCCCAGCCTGGGCAAGATAGTGATTTAGTGAGACCCCATCTCAAAGTAAAAAGTTTAAAAGGCCCGGGGATGTAGCCCAGTGTGAAGGCCTTGGGGTCAGTGCCCGGTACTGAAAATAAATATCTTCAGTAGCTGTAGTAGAAAGTGGTTTGATGATTTGGTCCTTCGAGACTTTACAGGCTGGGCTCTTAGTAGGGTGCAGTTGATCGGTGAGGGGTGTCTCTTGTACACAGCAATCTTTATAAAATTTCCTTGGTAATTCTGTTTTGAGAAACTTTTGCATATGAGAAATGTACCACTCAAATAGAACATTATTTTTTCAAAAGCCTCTATATATAGCTCGAGGTGATTTTTGAAATCTATTTTAATTTTGGAGCATTGCTGGTTATTGTTCACTGTACTCTTATGTACTCAATGGGAAGTCATGGTTTATCAATAAAAATGGAAGTTCCTATCTATTATCTTGATCTTTTTATTGTAGCTTAAAGCCTATTTATAGCATATTTACTTGACATAAGCCTACCTGCTTCTGTGGACTAGAATGGCTGCAGGTGGGCTAGCACAGGCCGCTGCATTACAACGTGGTGACGTCACTGAGGTGTAAGATTCCTGCTCACCACCTTCTGATGCTGGTGGGAGCGGGAGGTGGTGCATACACAGAGCACAGCTTGGCGTTGGACGAGCACACTGCACTTCGTGAGGACCACGCAGAAGTGCAGCTGTGTGGCGTGCGCACATCTGCGTGCGACACTGCAAGTGCCTGGGGTTCTCAGCATTTCCAGTGCCGTGAACCACACTGTGGTCTCCACACTGAAATGATCATCAGAATCAGCTTTGTGCTTAGGAGTTCAGGTTCGGAATGAGGGGACAGGGTGACACTAGGTTGTAGTGCCATCTTGCTGGAGCCACTGCCTGTCTTCTTTCTTTCTTTCTTTCTTTCTTTCTTTCTTTCTTTCTTTCTTTCTTTCTTTCTTTCTTTCTTTCTTTCTTCCTTCCTTCCTTCCTT